TTGTTATAATTTAGGCTGATTTTAGTCTCAAGCTGACGTCAGCGCTGATAGGCGAAGATATAATTATGAACTCGATGGTCAGTGCTGACCACCGTGAGTACATATAATTACGTGTCATTCTAAAATGCTTCCTAGAAGTTCACATACCGTCGTCTCATCAACGTTGACAGTACGCGTGCCGTCAGCGTTTGAATAAAACCAGTCTTATATAGAGGTACATAAAGTTTACTTTACAGGAACGCTGACTGACTAGCTTAGTTACCGTGTCACATAACTGTTAACTGTTTCATAACTTATGTTCATAACAAACATAACATCACGCCTTTTATCCCCGAAGGGGAGAGGTGCACATTATGCCACTGTACAATGTAACACCCACTTTTCACTATTTATGTTATGAGTCCCATGTAATAGGGGATGAGCCTATTGCCATATATCGGGCACAATTTCAGACTCTGTGCTACTTCTGAGATTTTTTAAAATCCAGTAATACTTTGTTCGACCCGGGAATCGAACCCGAGACCTCTTGCCCAGCAGTTGCACTTGCGACCACTAGGGCAGCGAGACAGTCTTAACTTATGTGCAATATACCTATCCGAAGGAGCTAGTCTCCTTCATATGTCGCGGAGAACCTAACGGGTAACCGGGGCTCCGGCTCGACGTGCAGGAGAAGGAACGGGGTGGTTTTTAGTCAGTCGAGTCTGAAGAGTCTGACACTCCCTTCCGCCTCACCCAGGCGGGAGCAGTCATTCGATGATTTTTCCCCCCTTAAAAAAAAAGTCTCCTTCATATCAACCTTTCTTTTGAATTCCGAACACGTGTCATGATATATTTTCCATGATTTATAATATGGTACAGTTTTGGGAATTAAAAAAAAAAACAGTATGAAGGTAATTGGCTCATTTTACGTAAGAATTTTTTTTCTATTATAGAGTCATGCAAGGAATAGTACTAAAAATAGTAGGAGGTATTTTAAAAATCTAAAAGTTTTTAGTAGGTATATAAAAGTAAAGAAAAAATGAAAATGGTAGGTTAAGTAAAGCACTAAAAATATTCTATTTCATGATAAAGCGTTAAAATCTTACAAAACTAGTTTTTCAACGCAAAACCGGTGTAAAATGAAGTGAATTTATTCTAGATGCAAGTAGAAAAGGATTTGGAGAAATCTTGCAAATCCCTGCGGAAAGCGTTCGAGGTAGATACAAAGTGTAAGAACAACATTTTACTCTTCTACTATATAAATAATACAGAAACTAGACGAGAATAAACGATATACACTTCTGTGTACTTTAGGAAATAATAATTTTAACTTTGGGGTTAGGTAAGTCTAGGTTGACCAGCGTTGTTTTAAAATAAACTCTAAAAGTAATAAATTAACTAAAAATTGCGGATCATTCACGTGAAAATATTGAGAAAAGCTCTACCAGTCTCGAACCACAGAGGGGTTCCTCCTCACGAGTAGCGTGCGCGGTTGCGGCGATGTAGGCTGCGTGATTTTCAATTAATTTAGTATGTTTCACGATACTTATTATAAAAACATGACAGAATTAACCCATTTGGATCTGCCGTCCCCATACGGGGACAGGTCTTCTTTTACCCGCTGGTTATTCATCTTTTTAGCTATCTTCATTTTTCATTAGTATTTTTTATGAGGAGTAGTGTACTTTCCTAAAACTATTAGAAGTTTTGACAAATTGCTACAAAAAGGGGGTCATATTGACAATTTTATCAAAAGGAAGTGAAATGGGAATTATTATCGAAAGCAGAGCCGTTTTATAGTATGTTACTATGAAGAATTATAAAACTTTTTTGTGATTATTGCTTGCTTATAGTGTCATTTAGAACAATATTGAAGAATATCCTAATACTTTCAATTCCGCTTAGGGGAAAGTTAGAAAATATTATGGTGTCCCCGTTTGGGGACAATGGGCACATCTGTAGTATATTTTTAAAACATTTAAACCTGATTTGTATTTATTTGACCTGAGGGGGGAACTGGAAAACCATCGCTTTCTGCGAAGCAGTCATAGTAGCAAGAACAGATCGCCGCCCAGAACCAGACCTGAACCTATAAGGCGCGTGGCGTTACGCGCGCGCTTCAAAGTGCTATCAGACCGCCTTAGATCGAGATGGCTCAGTAGGACAGATGCCCGACCACTATGAATAACCTAGTGGGTCACCGGGGCTTCGGCTTGAAGCAGAATTAGGAACGTGTTGGTTTTTAGCCAGTAAGAGTCCCCCAGGTGAAAAACGCAATGCATGATTTTTACCCGCAAAAAAAATACAGGCGCGTCACATCTAATTGATTTAGACATTTTCCGCAGAGATTTAGTTAATATCTGTTCCGACACGCAATTCTTCATAAAAAAACTTGTGGTATCAATGCAAATAATGCGTTAGAACCTTATGTGTCGAAAACAGTTACTACTTCGAAAAGTACTACACATGAGCCCATCGTCCCCAATCAAGGACGGCTTTTTTTTTAATACTTCTAAATATATTTTTTGAATTTTTTTTGCTGATATTAGTTTGTGGGCGTCATTTCATTGAATTAATAAAGTTTTTTTTATTAAATTATGTGTAGTTTGCATTTGGTCCCAAATGGGTTAAAAACTAGAAGGCAAATTGTTCTCAGTTGGGGTTATCGAAACGTTCAAAACACATTTAAGTGTGGGAGAGCCATGCTTTGGCACGAGTGGGCCGGCTCGACCGGAGTGATACCACGGCCTCACAGAAAACTGACGTGAAACAACGCTTGCGTTGTGTTTCGTCATAAAGTGAGGTTACCGTTAAAAAAAACATGATAAACTATGCAGTATAGTATGTACCTTAAAATATTAAATACTTAGGTAAGTTAAGGAAGATTCACAAACACATGTACTAAACAGCATTGCATTAATAGCTTGACTGTAAAAAATGTAGACCCTCAATATTACAAAAAATAATCTATACCTATTGTAACTTAATACCTGAAAACCTTTCTCAGAACTAACTTCCGAAATGTTTACCACCCACATAATGTTACTTATAAACCACAAAAAAATACTAAAAACATTTTCATAATAAACCTCCAAAAAATCTTCGCCGTCATAATAAAAATAGACACAATGGCCGACAAAAAACCAAAGAATTTACCACAAATTGTAAACGGAATAGGTAGGGGTGGCAGGCGGAAGTCGTATTACCGATAAATTTCCTGGCGAAAACACCGGCGCTTTTGTTGTCCGTGCAACCCTAATTTGTTTCGATGGAGTTCCTGACAATGCTATTGATTGTAGACATGTATTAGAAGATAATGGATTGTGATCACGAAAAATATAATTCTTAATGCTATCAGCCAGGTATTGTGAGTGGTAGATGGGATTTTTCTTTTGATATTTGAAGCGGTTATGATTTTTGTGGTCATATGGAATTGTACGTATGTATGTACATTTGTATTAGGAAGACAAAGTTTCGAAAGAAACTACGACTATTAATACGTCAAGCGTGTCTTTGCATTGTTCTCACCTATACGTACATGTACAGTATTGAAATATGTATCAAAGACCTTCTAGAACATACTTTTTTTTAAAAGAGTAACGAATGGAGTTTCTTGCTTGTTCTTCTCCATTCGAATCTAAATTTTGGAATGAGCACCTAGCTTCACCTAGCTTCACTGACGGACTGACTGACAGACTATTATTTATTTTGTATTTGTTGACGTTTCAAAAGTACCAAATTATGGTTTAATTGAAATAAATGCTTCGACTTTGACTTTGAATAGATATTAGAAATAATTTTCAAAAATTGGACATTAATGTTACAGGGATAGGGATGTGCTTTTAGTCCATTCTGTCCAATCTATACTGTGAAGGTGCTGAGTTCGTATGTAGCTTGGTCAGTTCCTAACATTTCTCGCTACTCCATTAATTGGGATGATGAAAGGGTATGAACATTAAAAATCTAATTAGTCCGTAAGTTAGGTAATGAAAAAATATTAGACACATTTTTTTTTATTTTGTCGTATAATAAAGCAATACTTAGATAAAAAGAATCAATGTTTAGGAGTGGGGGCTAAAACGTCATTACTGCGTATAAAATGTACATAGAAATGACGTCATGCGACATTTCAAAACAACATATCGTCGAAAGTATTCGTTTCTGTAAGAAAATAAAAAATATGTGATTTAAAACAATCCACCAGACGGACATTAAAATAAAAATTAGGCATCTACCCATATTGTCATGGTCGCGATGAGTCTGGTATAATCCCCTTAGATTTAAAGACTCTTGTTATATTTTAATAAAGAGTAGAAAAAAAAAACTATTACGCCTTAATTTTCGATTAACAAAAGCAATTACAAAATATGGTAAATTAATACAGGCTAGTAAACAAAAAAATCAACGTATTGTATTACTTTTAATGGAGTTAATTTTTTCTGTAGTGGTCAGTATGATTTACACTCGAATTCTAAAAGACTGCTCAGTTTTTACTTGTACTTAACTATCGTGCCATCTCTGTAATTTTACAAAAAAATTGTAGTTACAGAACGATACTTAAGCGCGGCTTAAAATTGAGTAGCGTTTGAGTATGTCGACATTAATCCTAAAACTTAGTACCTAATTTAATTGAATCCTATTTAGGAATTTCAACCCTTTTCATACTTCTTTCTTCCTGCTGATGAGGTCACATATCTTAGATTATTTCAGCAAATAAAGATTATTTTTGCGACAAATAACAAAACACTATTCGAATCACTCCGTTTCCACAAATTTCAAACTATTTTCTTTTCAGTACAAAATTAATATGTAGGTATTGAACAAAATGTAAACAATTAAAAAAAATAACATTCATTGACCTGGAATGTCAATATAAATAATTGTGCCACATGTCTTCTGCTTTCAATGTTACTAACAAACAGCATGATGTACGCTTTATTAGAACTTCTACACCATGTATGTGACCTCATCGTATACAGCTTGTTACTAGACTACAACGAAATTGACTCATGGTCTATTAGTTACAGAGTCGTGCTGGAAGTGGCTGGTAACTCGGACGCAGTAATACTGAGCGGGTTGGAAGCAGACACGCAGTACCAAGTCACTGTCGCCGCGCTTTGGGGCGGCCATAAGTACAGAAGTAGACCCATTGTCTTCCGTACGCTGGGTAAGTTAGTCACTTCTAGTTGTTTGATTTCTGTGTTCCTTGATTTGTACTGCGAGAATCAACAGTCATCAGTTCATGCATGCTCGTCGGTTAAGGGTACTTTTAATTTGGTCCTTCTTTAATATATCGTCAATCTAGTCAGTATGTCCGTCTAGGGCGCTCTATACCGACGGTCCCATTCATATAACTACTTATGAATTATGACTGTTGATGAAGCGAAAGAGGTATGTAAGAATCGTAGCAATTGGCGTTGCATCGTCTCTGCTTACCCCCATGGGAGACAGGCGTGAAGTTATGTTGTTTTTGTTATTGTTGCTACGGGATAAATGGGTTAATAGGCTTTTAGATTAGTGGATTTTTTTTCTATCTTCCATGTTATACATATTCTGTGTACCTAGTGTTGCTGTATAAGAATTTGCAATAATGGTTCTTAAAATTGTAACCTTGGTTTTATACGAGAGAAAGGTAGAGAGGGAAAACGTATTCTTATAATATTTTTTAATATTAACCTACTTTTGTTGCTCATATATATTCAAAATACCAATTCAACTGAACAAACAGTTGCCTCAAGGGCCTGTAAAAAAGTAAAAAAATGATATTAAGAGTAGGTGCAAGAAAATTTTATCCACATTCACTAATACCAGATAAACCTTCTTTAAGTAAATCAAAAGCAACCCCCACAAACTTCTTCATCTTCCAAATACAAACTAATCTTCTAACCTTTTTTAATAAAATTACCCCACACACTAGAAACGTGTTAACGAACTTCAGTCAGACCTCTTACAGGTGATGTTTCGCGTGTCAACTATTAATATGTCGAAGTGAACATGCAATATAGACATTACCATTAGTAGGATAAGGTCGACTCTAGAGGTATCTATGATTTCAACATTTTATTACAATGGTGTGGGCTTTCGAGGGTTGGTGGTGTAACGCCTACATTTCTTTTTGAGTTAAGCTGATGTTGGTTGAATAGGATACTTTTTTGTATTTGTGTTTGGAATTTGATTTCATTGAGAGTCTTCGTAAAGTCTATGGGTATTCTTAATCACTTCAAACTGATTGTTTAACACCTCAAAGCTAGAGAAGTTGCTACTGGATACGTTGTGTTTCAATGCCAAAACATGGCTGTCTGTACTAATAGAAATAACAGACAAGTACACAATATTCATCGATCTGTTTCTTTTTGTAATTCAGAAGGTAATATAATGTATCTAAGGTACAAAGTAATTATAACGATAGAGTACAAAATATGTTTTATTTAAAACGACCTAGAATTTCTTACCCTACTGCATTACTGTACTACATCGCTTATACCACGGGGAGTAATTGACCTGATACCTGCCGCATCTTTTCGTCATCGACCCTCACGACAGCATATACATCACCACCATATAGATGGTTGGCAGGACACAACTGTGCGCTTCTCACGTATCTTTCTACCTCGCACAGCAAAACTGTGAAATGATCTGTCGTCGGCGGTATTTCCGAACCGATACCACTTTCAAACCTTCAAGAAAAGAGCGTATTTCTTTTTAAACGGCCGGCAACGCACCTATGCCTTCTCTGGTATTGCGGGTGTCCATGGGCGGCGCTGATCGCTTACCATTAGGTGATCCGTCTACTCGTTTGCGTCCTATTCCACAAAAAAAAAATAGTTCAAACCTCATTTCTCAAGACTGGATATATAAGAGCGTCTATCGCGTGATGAAATTGCGTGGTCTGTACAAACTTACACACAAAATAACAGGTCATTGACTTCCATATTATTTCAAATTACAATCAAACAGTGGGCGATGTAATAATTATTTTAATGTATTTCGTAACAGTTGCCTTTTTGATGAAATTATTCAATTTCATTTCAGTTAGAGTGGTTCTGTCAAAGTCAAGTAAATGTGAAAGAGTTTTGGAGTTTCAATGGCATTTGAAGTGAACATCAGTGGGTAGGTGCGTAGGGGTTTTATTGTAGGTATTATGAGTTTAGACAATGTTAGGTTTTAATGGTAATTTCTAATTGATGTGTAGTTTAGTTTATCGTGGGGGCTTGGAGGTTTAAAACCCCCGTTTCTCATGCTTGAGGGTGCGTTAACAGTGCAACGGCAAGTATCAATGTGACCTTTTCCGAGTTATATGTGCTTTCCAAGATTATTTATACATCACTGATAATAGGTGAAGGAAAACATCGTAAGGAAACCTAGACTTTATAATTTTATTTTACAGTTAAGAATTAAAAAGCTGTACTAGGTAGAAACAAAACACCATTCTATATTTAAATCTAACAATTTTATATTAAGCCAAAAGACGACAGAATTTTTACATACAAACATACATAACATCACGCCTTTTATCCCCGAAGGGATAAGCAGTGGTGCACACAGCAGTAACACCCACTTTTCACTATTTATGTTATGAGTAATAGGGGGTGAGCCTATTGCCATATACCGGGTACATTGCAGACTCCGTGCTACTACTGAGAATTGTTTAAAAACCCAGTAATACTTTGCTCGACCCGGGAATCGAACCCGAGACCCCTTGCCTGGCAGTCGCACTTGCGACCACTCGGCCAACGAGGTAGTCAGTTAAGAATTAAAAACTGTACTAGGTAGAAACAAAACACAATCCTATATTTAAATCTAACAATTTTTATCTTTTTTTTTTTATCTTTTTTTTTTAAAAAACGTTGCCCCACACTAGGATTTTCTCCTGTGTCGTGGGTGCGTTTACAAACATACAAGTTCACATACACATCACACCCAGACCCGAAACAACAATTTGTGGATCACACAAAGTGTTGTTCCGTGCGGGAATCGAACCCGCGACACGTTGCTCGGCAGCCGGTTACCCAGCCACCGCACCAACCGTGCAGTCAATTTTATATTAAGCCAAAAGACGACAGAATTTTTAATAAATACTAAATCTACTTCAATCCCCGAGCTGGTACAGAAAGCACGTTCGTGTTGCAAACAAAGCTAGATTAAACAGACAACTAAACAGAAAAACGGACCGAGATCAACATTGGTTCAGTTGTTAATGTAAATACTGACCTGTTGCGTTGACATTTGGTTTCAATATCGTTTTTCCTGAACTGGGAATTTGTGGGAATGTTCTTTGTAGATCCTAGGAACCGCGTTTTGAATCTAGAATTATGTTGTGTGGAAATGAAATAAGTTTTTGGGCATATTGTTGTTGAAGGCGCCATAGGCAATCTACTGAAGCGAAATATGCGCATCAATAATCATCAACAGCCTATAAATTCCCACTGCTAAGCAAAGCCTCTTCTCACACAGAAAAGATTTGAGCATTGATCACTATGCTTGCTCAATGCGGGTTGGCGATTACAAACTTATAATTAGAAATTATAAGCCCAGGTTTCCTTACGATGTTTTCCTTCACCGTTTGTCAGTGGTGTCTAAATAATCTTATAAAGTACATATAACTCGGAAAAAGTCACATTGCTACTTTCCTTTAGTAGGTTACAAACTCACATGTGCTTAATTTTATCATATCCAATGGTATAAATAACGAAAATTTTTATTGTGAATTGAAAGTCTTCTTATTATCCATGTCGAAAAGCTTAAAGCAAACTGCATGGCTCCTTCTTTTGCAGAAATTGACATACATACATAAATTCACGCCTATCTGCCATAGGGGTAGGCAGAGACTATGGGACGCCAATTACTACGATTCCTACATACCTCTTTCGCTTCATCCAGAGTCATCAACCTTTTCATGTATGCTCGTCGGTTAAGGGTACTTATAATTCATGGCCCTTCTTTAATATATCGCCAATTTGGTCAGTATATGTTCGTCTAGGGCGCCCTCTGCCGACGCGACGGCCCCATGCATATCCGCATTGACAATTCTCATAAAGAAATTCAGTGTCATGTCTGTTTCATATCTGGCAGACTTGTTCGACTTTCGATATAAAAACACAATCGTAAAATAAATATGCCATAAAATACATAGCTACATTTATATAGAAAAAACATTGACCCCAAGAAAAAAATCGAAAATCACACCCTGGGGAAAACAAAGCATAGTTCACACAAAAACTATTTTCCTTTCTCATTCCTTAAGCGACAAAACAACATAAACGATGTATGTACATTGTACATATATACAGCATGTTCAACAAAAACAGCGGTTGTACCGAAGTTGGTGGTACTGTAAATATAGCGACTTGTTGCGTGTGGTGTGTGCGTGTGTACATTCTCCGAGGACTCACTTTGAGGGATGGTACTTTTGTATTATTAGGAAATTTACTCATACTGTATATAGCTATTCATTATTGTCATTACAATTGTAATGAATTGGGTGATGTAATGCGCAAATTTTTTTTGTTGAATATAAACATTTTTGTTTAAAATAGTGGATATGAAATATTTTTAACAGCTTGATAAATAATATTTCAGTTACTATTTCATAAAAATACTGTATATTTGTTAATACGAACAACATTATATGGTAGTTTTGGCTAACAAAAACGTTTATTTAAGCATATAAAATTTTATGTTGTATTCTAAGTTAGGATACATAACACTATATTTAGAATAGGTCATTGTACAGTGGCATGTGCACCTTTCCCTATCCCTTCAGGGATAAAAGACGTGATGTTATGTTTATAAATAGAGTGGGGTAGTTGCCAGCGTATGAAAATTAAAAACCTAATTAGTCCGTCAGTTTGATAATGAAAAATAAATTTTAGACACATATTTTATTATTTTCTCGTATAAAGCTACAATACTTAGATAAAATGGCAATAAGTTTAGAAGTGGTCGTTACGTCACAACGTGCTACAAATTATAGCACGCTGTGACGTCATATAATACTTCAAATTATTATAGCGTCGAAAATATTTAATGTTGTGAGAAAATAAAAAATATTTTAGTAATGTTTTAAATTAATCTATCAGATGGACATTAAAATAAAATGTAGAAAACTTATCGTAGTATTATTCGTATAATACTGCCACGTCGTCGTTGCAAAGGTACTTTAGGTGA